GGTACCCCTAAATCCCTTATATGGACCCCAACCCCCTTAGGCCTCTCCTAGGCCCTTTAGGCCTCACCCAACCCCTTTAGGCCTCTCCTAGGCCCTTGAGGCCTCACTTAGGCCTCTCCCAAGACCCTTCCCAAACCTTGTGGACCCCCCCCAAATTTTGGGGTCCCCCCTTTCCCAGAACAATGCCCGTCTCCATGGCAACCCCCTGGAGCTGGGGCTCCTTTTAGGCCTCTCCTAGGCCCTTTAGGCCTCACCCAACCCCTTTAGGCCTCTCCAAACCCCTTTAGGCCTCACCCAACCCCTTTAGGCCTCTCCTAGGCCCTTTAGGCCTCACTTAGGCCTCTCCCAAGACCACCCCCAAAAACCTGACGACCTCCCCCAAATTTTGGGGTCCCCTCTTTCCCAGAACAACGCCCGTCTCCATGGCAACCCCCTGGAGCTGCGGCTCCTTTTAGGCCTCTCCAAACCCTTTTAGGCCTCACCCAAGCCCCTTAGGCCTTTCCTAGGCCCTTTAGGCCTCACCCAAGCCCCTTAGGCCTCTCCTAGGCCCTTTAGGCCTCACTTAGGCCTCTCCCAAGACCACCCCCAAAAACCTGACGACCTCCCCCAAATTTTGGGGTCCCCCCCTTTCCCAGGACAACGCCCGCCTCCACGCCAACCTCCTGGAGCTGGAGCTGGGGGCCGACGTGCGTCAGAACGAAGCCAACGCCGTGCGGTGCCTGGAGCGAGCCCTGCGCTCGCCCCTCTCCCCCGACGCCAAACTCCTCTTCTCCCAACGCCGCCTCGAGTTCCTGGAGGATTTCGGCTCCAGCATCCACAGGTTTGGGCTTTTTTTTGGGGGGGAGGAGTTAAAGACACCCCAAAAATCAAGCAGATGGCCCCAAAAATGGGGTAGGGGCATCCCAAAAATCTCCTGCGTCCCCCCCGCAGTTTGCTCACGGCCTACGACGAGCACCAGAAGATCCTCAAGCAGCACGCGGCGCGCAAGAGGGCGCTGGAAAACGGGTGAGGGGAGCCCCAAATTCGACCCTTTTCACCCCAAAACGTTCCCCTCCGTCCCCCCAAATTCGCCCTTTTTGGTCCTTCAGTTTTTCCCCTTTATTTTCCAGGTTTTTTTCCCCTTTAATTTCCAATTTTTCCCCTTTTATTTCCAATTTTTCCCCTTTAATTTCCTGGTTTTTCCCCTTTTCCAATTTTCCCCCTTTAATTTCCATTTTTACCCTTTAATTTCCAATTTCTTCTCCTTTAATTTCCATTTTTCCCTTTAATTTCCAGTTTTCCCCCTATATTTCAAATTTTTCCCCTTTGTTTTCCCCCTTTAATTTCCATTTCTCCCCTTTAATTTCATTTTTCCATTTAATTTCCATTTTTCCTCCTTTACTTCCAGTTTTTTCCCTTTAATTTCCGATTTTTCCCTTTAATTTCCAGTTTTCCCTCTTTCATTTCCAAATTTTCCCTTTCATTTCCAATTTTTTCCCCTTTTATTTCCATTTTTCCCTGTTTAATTTCCCATTTTTCCTCTTTAATTTCAGTTTTTCCCCTTTATTTCCCATTTTTTCCCTTTTAATTTCATTTTTCCTCTTTAGTTTCCATATTCTTCCCTTTAATTTCCTTTTTCTCCCTTTAATTTCCATTTTTCCCCTTTAACTTCCAAATTTTTCCTTTTATTTCCAAATTTCCACCTTTTATTTCCAATTTTTCCTTTAATTTCCAATTTTTCCCCTTTAATTTCCAATTTCCGCCTTTAATTTCGCTTTTCTCCCTTCAATTCCATTTTTCCCTCCTTTAATTTAGTTTTTCCCCTTTAATTTCCTGTTTTTTCCCCTTTTCGATTTTTCCCCTTTAATTTCCAATTTTTTCTCCTTTAATTTCCTTTTTTCCCCCTTTAATTTCCATTTCTCCCCTTTAATTTCATTTTTCCATTTAATTTCCATTTTTCCTCCTTTATTTCCCATTTTTCCCTTTAATTTCCATTTTTTCCCTTTAATTTCCAGTTTTCCCTCTTTCATTTCCAAATTTTCCCTTTCATTTCCAATTTTTTCCCCTTTTGTTTCCATTTTTCCCTGTTTAATTTCCCATTTTTCCCCTTTAATTTCAGTTTTTCCCCTTTATTTCCCATTTTTCCCCTTTTAATTTCTAATTTTTCCCCTTTTAATTTCATTTTTCCTCTTTAATTTCCATATTCTTCCCTTTAATTTCCTTTTTTTCCCTTTAATTTCCTTTTTTTCCCTTTAATTTCCAGTTTCCCTCTTTCATTTCCAAATTTTCCCTTTCATTTCCAATTTTTTCCCCTTTTGTTTCCATTTTTCCCTGTTTAATTTCCATTTTTCCCCTTTAATTTCCAATTTTTTCCCTTTTATTTCCAATTTTTCCCCTTCAATTTCCAATTTTCCCCTTTAACTCCCAAATTTTCCCCCCGTTTTTCCCATTTCCCCCCATTTTTCCACATTTTTTTTTCCACAATTTCTCCCCTTTTACCCAATTTCTCCTTTTATTTCCCATTTTCTCCAGTTTTTAATTTCCATTTTTCCCCTTTAATTTCCAATTTTTTCCCTTTTATTTCCAATTTTTCCCCTTCAATTTCCAATTTTCCCCTTTAACTCCCAAATTTTCCCCCCGTTTTTCCCATTTCCCCCCATTTTTCCACATTTTTTTTTCCACAATTTCTCCCCTTTTACCCAATTTCTCCTTTTATTTCCCATTTTCTCCAGTTTTCCCCCAAATTCCATTTCTTTTATTCCCCGATTTCTCCCCAATTTCCCCCTCCCAATTTCCCCCTCCCAATTTTCCCTCCCAATTTTCCCTCCAATTTCCCCCTCCCAATTTTCCCTCCCA